ATAGGGGAAGGGCAGGAAAACTGAATGGGAAGTCATCAGAGAGGGAGACAAACCATGAAAGTCTCTTAACTCTGGGAAACAAACTGAGGATTGCTGGAGGGGAGGTGGGTGGGGGGATGGGGTAATTGGGTGATGAGCATTAAGGAGGGCACGTGTTGTGATGAGCACTGGGTGTTATGCACAACTGATAAATTATTGAACACTAAAAAATAAAATAAAATAAAATATTGGGACTACACGAAAATAAAAAACTGCACAACAAAGGAAACTATCAACAAAATGAAAGACAACCTACTGAATGAGAGAAGATATTTGCAAATGGTATATCTGATAAGGAGTTAGTATTCAAAATATATACAGAACATGTACAACTCAATATCAACAAGCAAATATCCAGTTAAAAAATGGACAGAGGACCTGAACAGACATTTTTCCAAAGAAGACATCTAGTTGGCCAATAGTAATCAGAAAAGATGCTTAACATCACTCATCATCAGGGAAATGCAAATCAAAACCAGGATGAGATACCACCTCACACCTGTCAGGAAGGCTAAAATCAGCAACACAGGGAACAATAGGTGTTGGCAAGGATGCAGAGAAAGAAAGGGGAACCCTCTTGCATTGCTGCTGGGAATGTAAGCTGGTACAGCCACTGTGGAAAACAGTATGGAGGTTCCTCAAAAAATCAAAAATAGAAATAACATATGATCCAGTAATCCCACTACTGGGTGTTTACCCAAAGGAAAAAAGAGCACTAATTCAAGAAGATATATGCAGCCCTATATTTACAACAGCATTATTTATAATAACCAAGATATGAAAGCAACCCAGTGTCCACTGATAGATGAATGGGTAAATAAGATGTGATATATATTACTCAGCAATAAAAAAGAATGAGATCTTGCCATTTGTGACAACATAGATGGACATAGAGGGTATTATGTGAAATAAGGTCAGACAAACACAAATACCATATGATTTCACTTACATGTGCAATCTAAAAAACAAAACAAATGATCAAACGAAGAAACAAACTAACCAACCCAAAAAGAAACTCTTAAATACAGAGAACAAACTGGTTGCTGCCAGAGGGGAGCTGGGTGGGGGGGATGGGTAAAATGGATAAAGGGAATCAAGAAGTACAAACCTCTAGTTATTAAACAAGTAATTCAACTGTAATTACTTTGTTCAGTTCGGTGTTACCAAATAGAAATTTAATGCAACCCATAGCTATAATTTTTACCTTTCTAGCAATCATATTAAGAAAAGGAAAAAGAAACAGGTGAATTTAATTTCAATGATCTATCTTATTTTACCCACTATATCGAAAATACCATTCAACATGTGATCAATATAAAATATTAATGATATTTTACATTTTTCACACCATCTTCAAAACCTAGCACATATTTTACATTTACAGCACAGTAAATTCTGACTAGCCAATTTCTACTACTGAATAGATGCACTTTTAGTTAATTACCCTTAGAATCTCACACAGATTAGATTAAGAATTATTTGTCCATTGTTTTTGTTGTACATATGAGAAAACTGAGGCCAAGAGAGAAGTGCTATCTTTCATAAAGACTTTTTTTTCCCCTTGGGATCCTTGTGGAGAAAAATAATGGCCTACTTTTCATACTACTTGTATAATTTCTGCTAACCATATTTACATGGAGAATTGCATCATTTTTTATGAAATACTGGACATGTGAGTTTGCCTTTATTAGAAAAGGTGACTCCTTGAATTGGAGCATAAAAAATTGGAGTTATTTCTCAGAACATGCAGGCAGACTGAGTTGGACCCTGCTGCAAAGGTTTTTGTTTTGTTTTTCCTCTAGGCTCAAAGCTTTTGGGTTACTTGGCAAATTGAAGTAGTACATCCAGTTGTGGTGTATGTTGCCTCTAAAAGCAGAAGAGATCAACTTAGCATTGTCCCTCTTAGCAGACCGTGCTTAGTGGATGGGTAACAGGGAATTCCTCCCCCGCCTTTTTTTAAAGTAATTTCTATGTCCAACATGGGGCTTGAAATCATGACCTCAAGATCGAGGGTCACATGCTCTACCAACAGAGCCAGCCAGGTGCCCCAAGGAACCCTTCATTTTAACCATTAAATTTTTCCATGGAGTATTACCAAGATATGTACCTGCAGCAGCTCCATCTGGACCTGTGACCTGGGATTCAAGGCTTTTTTTTTTCCCCCCCAGACTTACAATCAAGAGAAATGAATTCAATTCCAAGCTCTGCCACTCCCTGGTTGAATGACTTTAAACACGACACCTCACTGAATCTTAGTGTCCTCATCAGTAAAAAAAGGACAATTAAGTTCTACTTTACAAGGTTCAAATGAGAACATACATCTATATTTGTAAGGGCCTAGCAAAGCATATTCCACTACCAGTTAAGTCACAGAGCCAACTAGCAGCAGTGCTGAGTGTATCAGTCTGGGCCCAATCAAAAGATAAAAACCACTATATAGATTTATTAAACTCCAAACGTATTAAACTAAAAAAAAAAAAAAAAACTAACTATAATATATAAGGAAATTCTTTACAGTACCCTGAGGCTGAGGGAAGGTACCCATGGAAGGGCAAATTTGGAAGGGGCTCCAAACTCACTGGAAAGGGTGTAATTTAAGCAGAGAAGTTAGCTTAAATTGGTTTGGCCTGGTGTTCTAGAGTCACTAGGTAAGCAGGAGACAACTCTCCAGAGTGCAGGTGGGGAGCAAGCAGCAACTAGTGGAGTAGGAATAGAGAATGGGAACCTTTTAGGTTACCAATAAGCTTTGCAGGACCAGCCTGCCTCAGTAGGAACCCCCTAAGGAGCAAGCAGGCTGTATGGGGGCTGGCAGAGGAAGCTGGGAGCAGCAGCTCTGTTACAAACCTTCAGTCAGCAGGTGGGAGAGGTGTGGGGCCTACAGAGGGAAGCTGGGGGACAGAATGAGTGGGAGGCCTTCAGGGAGAGACCTAAATTGAGAGACCTGCAGATAAGTTATTGCCAGGCCAGGCAGAGGCTTCAAAGGCACTGAGGGGCCATGTATTCTAGATGTGTGGCTGGGTCAGAGCCCCCACCAGATAGCTCACTCCCTCTCTACTGACCCCCACTTTGCAGCAGTTGGAAACTTCAGGAGAGCCCCTTCTTCCTGCAATATCCCTCCAGCACCATCTCCTGAGAAAGCTTAACAGCTTGATCATTGTAAAGGAGAGATGCTTAATGGAATTCCGTCCATTTTCACAGAATAGGTATTGAGAAGTGTTGGAACTGATAGGCAATAATTTGAAAACACACAGGGGTAGACCAAAAGCTGCATTTTCTAGTCCTTAGTTCACTGCTCTTTCTATTACCCTAAATTTTACTTACTACCAGGATAATTCTAGATAGTTTCTTGAAAACAGCCCTCACACTGAGAGTTGGTCACTCTCCTTTTAGGTGTGCAAGTTGACCCTACGTTAAAGAAGTAGAAAAAAAAAAAGACCGATAGGAATATAAGAATATAAGCTTTCTGAGTCTCAGTTTCTTCATTGAGAAAATGGATATTATACATCCTACTTCATAGGTTTGCTGTAAGAATTAAGGAAGACAACATATGTAAAATCCTCAGCACAGGCCGGGGACATAGGAAATATATAATCGATATCTGTTTCCTTTCCCTCAGATGACATGAGGTCAACCACTGCAGCATATTCTTAATTTCCTTTTTCCTAATCTCATCCAGGAGTGAAAGTAGACTGTGTGAAGATTTTCACATTATCTGTCCTTCTTCATAAAGATTCATTGTTACGTAACAACTGTCATGTCACTTAAGTATTTTCATACCATACTTATATTTTAAAGGTTCTTCCCTCCTTCAATTATATATTTTCCCAATTAAGTACTTATGTTAATGAGGTTTCAGATACATTAAGTGGAATCCAGAATTGCTGGGCTATCCAGATTAACTCATTTAGCCTGAATGTCAATCACTCAAACAATACCCAGGTCAAGCTGACTGATGACATCCAGCAGTGACATCACATCCACTAATATCGTCTTTCCTCTTTCCTCTCTCAACTTGCCATCTTCAATCCAAACTGCTTGTCACAATATTCCAGATAATAACCAGATGGTGTGTTCTCAATCCTTTTTAGGACCAGATGCTTAGTCAAGATGCTACATTTAGTTCTGGAAAACCATCTAGGTTACATGTTGCATACAGACTGGAGTTCAAAAAATAGGTCTATTCTCAGCTGACAAGAATAAATTTAACAATTTTTCATACCTCTTTATGAGACACTGGGGAACCAGATCCATGAGTGATCAAGGTGGAAATAATCTGAGATTATCTGGTACAATGCTGTCCAGTGGAAATTTCCACAATGATGGAAATGTTCTAGGTCTGTACAATCCAACACAGGAGCTACTAGCCACATGTAGGTACCAAGCACTTGAAATGTGACTAGCATGACTGAGAAACTGAGTTGTTAATTTTATTTTATTTATATAGCTATGGATACCATATTGGACAGCAAATATCTACATTGTATGGCTTAATGGAAAGCATGTGGGATTTGAAGCTAAAAGAAATCCTAAAGTCTAAATGCTGGCTACTGTCCCTAACTATATAACTTTGGTCAGGTTTTTTTTATCTTGCCCAAACCTCAGCTGCCTCATTTGTAAAATGTGGAAAATACCAGAACCTCACACAATTGTTGTGATTAGAGAATGAAGGTAAAGCATGTAGCCCAGTGCTTAGCAAGCACATAGTAAGTGCCCTTTAAATAATGCCTATTGTCAAGCTGCTCATTTTCCAGATGGAGAAACTGAAGCTCCAGAAAGAGAAGAGACTTGTCCACAGTTGCACAGCTAGTTGGAAACATAGCCAGGAGCCAATTCCAGATTTTCTCACTTTTTTGAATGAATTTTCTTATATATATGAACCCTCCTCACCCCTAAAGAGTGAAGAGTGGTAGCCCAAACTACTCAGCTGTAAAAAATATGTTATACATTTGGAGAAAATGTACCTTGGTAAAGCCTATTTGCTCCTTCCGAAAATTTTCCAGGGGTTTAATCAGCAAATCACTAGCATTGTGTACCTAGAAAAAAAGAAAGAACACACAAAACAACTTTCAGATTAGAAAGGTTCAGATTCAAGTTTCCTTGTTACTAAGGCATTACCCTGTAATACATCAACTTGCAAAATGTAAATTGATTTGCAGGTTTTTTTCATTGTTGTCACTGTCTTTTTTTCCCATACTGGTCTCTTAAAATCAAATGTTTTGAGAGGAAATGAGAGAAGGGACATTAGGGGCATTTCTCTGTAACTTACTGGTAGTCTGATCTGAGTTTTTAATCAATAAATATCTATAGTCATGTCCAGAAACAGATACAGGGGGCCTGAAGTATATGTGGAAAAGAGAAAGAGAATGGAAAATGTATGAAAATACCAATTGCACCAAGTGCAAACCATTTCATGGGAGGCAAATGAGTTAGCAGTAATAGCATCAGGATAAATCCCAGGATAAAGTGTTTCCGGTCCTGCCAGGGTGTGTCATAAAATCAGAACATTTTCTTCAGAACTTACGAGTATATTACAGCATCACAGAGAGCACTGGATCAGGCCCTCAAATTACCTACAAATGTAGGTATCAGCTCCAAAGCTGATAAAAACAGCCTGTCCAAGAATGAAAAATATTGACATTAATATGGTTCTAGAGATATAAAAACACCATTTGCAAACTGGACCCCTTGCTCAGTGGACAGGCAGAGATATACAAAGCTTTGTGTTCATATAAACCTCCTGAAAGATTGCATCTGTCCAAGGCAACAAGGGGGGTTTGTTTTCTTCAGTGGTGTGAATCAGCTGTATATTAATGGAGGACCTAAGAGAATACATCTGAAGGGCTGGATTTTAGGATCCAATGCACTAATTTTGATATAAGACAGGGAAATGAGGTACTGCCTTCCTTGTCAAATGAGACATAAAGTGTAAGTAAGACAAGATATATCTTCATAACAAAAGTAGAAAAAACAGTAGAAAGCCAGTTTTGACCAGTCCTGTATTCTCCAGATTAAGAGGCAATTATTAAAGATTTATTTATTTATTTGACAGAGAGAGAGACACAGCGAGAGAGGGAACACAAGCAGGGGGAGTGGAAGAGGGAGAAGCAGGCTTCCCGCAGAGCAGGGAGCCTGATGCGGAGCTCGATCCCAGGACCCTGGGATCATGACCTGAGCCGAAAGCAGACACTTAATGACTGAGCCACCCAGGCGTCCCAAGAAGCAGTTTTTAAACTACCAGCAAAATGCATGGGCAGTTGGGGCATTAGTACATATTTTTTAATCTGTGTCCTGCAGGCACTTTGGGTCTCCTGTTTTGTGTCCAGGCATGATTCAGAGTTCAACTAAATGGGCAAACTCTCATCCAATCAAGCTCTACCAGAAGCCCTAGTACCAAAAATAAGGACATCAGTGATTCTCCTTGATCAAAAATAAGAATTCTTTTATTAAAAGTACTAGCTCAGTTAAGGAGGGCACATGATGGGATGAGCACTGGGTGTTATATACAACTGATGAATCACTGAACATGACATCAGAAACTGATGATGTACTCTATGCTGGCTAACAGAATTTAAATTTAAAAAAAAGTATTAGCACATCTCTCTTGCTCAACACACTCTATAGTTCTATGGACTGTGAGATATGTGATAATCAACTTTGTGTACATACCTGGAAACAAATTATGTCATTAGTGTCCTAGATCCAGTACAGAGAGTCATTTTTCTTCTCTCCTTTTGTGCAAGTTTTAAAACATGGCCACAAATTTTGTGACACTTTCCCCATTGAGAGGTGAGGTCTCTGTCCCCTCTACCTTTAATATGAGTGGGTTTATTACTTCTTTGAACTAATAGAGTATAGCAGAAGTGACACTATGTGACTTCTCAGACTAGGTCATAAAAGGCCAGCAACTTCCACCTGGTTCTCTTGGAACACTCCCCCTGGGGTGCCCTGAGCCACCCTATAGGAAGCTGGACTATCCTGAGACTACCAACCTAGAGAGGCCAAATACACACTTTCTGATCAAAAGTCCAGCTGAGCCCAGCCTCCCAGTCATTCCACTGAGGTGCTTGATAGGTGAGCAAAGCTTTGGACTGCTTTGGACTCTCCACCTCAACCCACCTCCCAGGTGAATACTACCACATGAAGCAGAAAAATTACCCAGCTGATGCCTACCTGAATTCCTGACCTACAACATAATGAGATAAAATTAAATGGTTTTAGTTTAAGCCACTACATTTTGGAATAGGTTGTTATGCAGCAACAGATAATTAGAAAAACTATTTCCACTTTCACAAAGGTAACACACAAAAAAGTGGTTACCTGGGACACACTGAAGAAGTTTGCCTTTGAATATGAAGTGAACATGCCATTTTTAAGGAGAGTAGTATGTGTCAAACTTCTATATGGACTTTCAGCTGAGCCCTTGCATACATAGGCAACCCAAGGATAGCACAGTTGCCAGTTTTTATGCTTCAAAGGGGATTTTCTTGTATAAGCAAGTGTGCCAGCAACTTCTTACACAGGGTCCATTAGGCCACTGCTTTTTGTATGTTTGGCCCTGTCTCTGTCAAGAAAACTAGTACATGATTCACTGAAATTGGAGGCCATAGTTCTCACTTGATCACATTGATTATAATACTGCTACCAGTCTCCTACAACACAAATAAATACTCTGAGCATTTCCTCTCTTTGACACTCATCGGTTATTATAATACTTTCTGCCAGAACACAGAGCTAGAGATGTAGGAAAAGATCACACTGAAGCTTGACTCTTTTTTTTTTTTTTTCATTTTGTTTTGTCCTCAAATCTCTTAGAAGTCTAGCAACTACTCAAAAAAGCCCTTTTAATTAAACATGATCTTTATTCCCCTTTCGGATCACTACACCCATTTCATAAGCTCTCTAGCAGAAAAGCTCCTACCTGCTATCCCAGGGTAGAACCCCCAGCATGATAAGTGACACTCTGAACAACACATTAGTGAGTTTAGCTAATCAGGTTCCTATTATATGAATCCCAATTAACACTAGGTAGGGAATTTAGCAGATTAGAGATGGTACTCAATCCAGCAGTGTAGGATTTTTCATGAATCTTTGATGGATAACTAATTACCAAAAGAAGTCATTGAGGATATACTGCTTGAAATAGTATGGGTCTCTTTAGGTCATTCTTCGCAGTCCTCAAAGACAGACCTTGCACATTGCTAATAGGGTGGCCTTCAGAGTCAGAAAGGCACCTAGGCAAGCCGAACGTTAATCATACAGGAAGTCTGTTATCCAGATTTTCAAGGCCAACTTCTGAGGTAATACAATATCCCACAGGGTACTAGTTAAGAACATCACAGTTGGAATGCCCCTCTTCAATTCTTTCCTCCATAATTCCTTCCACAATTTAAGTTCATTTACAAGAATGACTAGACATTTGCAATTATCACAGGCTAGAGCTGTGAACTTCCTGTTCTAAAGCTTCTTTTGGCCTCTTCTTATAGAAAGGAAAAGAAGCTGTTTAACACCTCCCAGATTATCTATAGTGGGGTAAGAAGTCCTTTTACCACAGTTCTAGGAAAAGGGAGAGGTGCAGTGAAGCAATGAATTCCTGGCATGTTGTGAAAGGCCCTCATTGAGCCTAACCTTCACAGCATTCCTAAAATTAAATGGGAAATGGGGAGCCAAACACTCAATACATGATTGAAGAGTTGTGGGGACAAAGAGGCACAACATAATGAGAGACAGAAGAAAATGAGTCACTCCTGTGGAAAAAATCCAGCAAGAAGGATGAGAAAAACAATGTCTCAAAAGATGAGTCCTACTTTAATATTTTAGAGCTTTGTAATTGGGTAAATAAAATCAAGAAACAACTAGATACAGAGTTACAGGTCTGTGATTGGAGCGGAAGAATGAAGGCGGGGAATCAGAGTGGGAGACGAACCATGAGAGACTATGGACTCTGAAAAACAAACTGAGGGCTCTAGAGAGGAGGGGGTGGGGGGATGGGTTAGCCTGGTGATGGGTATTAAGGAGGGCACGTTCTGCATGGAGCACTGGGTGTTATACGCAAACAATGAATCACGGAACACTACATCAAAAACTAATGATGTAATGTATGGTGATTAACATAACACAATAATAGAAAAAAGAAATGCTTTCTTGATTAAAGTCACTCATGATCTCAAGGGGAAAAAAAAGAAACAACTAGGGCTGAAGAGAAGTACAGCTGAGCTTTCTAGTGGTATATGAATGAAATGAAGTTGAATGCCTTTGAGATCAACATTGGCAGTTGTCCACAAATTCTTCAGGCAGAGGAAAACATTTAGTAGAGTGTAGATTAGCTAGGGGGGCCATCTACCAGACTCCAGAGAAACTACCCATATTGGTCTCTCCTTAATATCCTTAGAAGCAAGTCTCTTAAACTAAGAAAATTCCCAAGTCAAATTTCCATAAGCAGAATCTTGGGAGTAACAAAAGTTAACTACAAACAACACTCACTTAGTGTTTTTTTTTTTTTTGCTATTTATAGAACACTTTCATATTCATTATATCATGTGGAGTTCTTACAACAACCTTGGGAGGTGGGATTATTTTCCTCATTATACATATGAAAAAAGAAAGACAGCGAAATACTATGATTTGTTTGAAATCAACAATTAGTAGCACTGCCATTATTAGAATCTAAGTCTCTACTTCCCCTACGTCCATGTCCTGCCTTCAATCCTACTTCTCTAGGAGCCTAGATGAAATGGTAGCAGTATTCTCAGAAGCCAGTATCACACTGTTGAAAAGGATGAGTAATGACAGATTAAAGAACTCTGGTTATTGAATAAACAGACTTAACAAAACTGAACTGCCCACAGGAAATCATCCTATCAAGAAAGGGAAGGTAGACCTCTCATCACCCTCTACGAAGTTCCAACATTACCCTCACACCCCTAATAAAAATAAATATTGACCAACTTAGGTACTTCTACATTTAAGTCCAAATAGGTCTGGGGTGGGGCCGAGGACCTGCATTTCTAACAATTTCCTAGGAGACATTGGTGCAGCAGATCTAGGGACCACACAAAAAGATTATTTTTTAAGCTGCTAAAATAGAGTTCACCAAAAAAAAAAAAAAAAATGAAATACAAGATCTGTGTAAGGAAACTACAAAACTCTGATGAAAGAAATCAAAGAAGGGTTTAATAAATGGAGAGATAATCCATGTTCATGAATAGGAAGGCAATATTCTTAGGATTTCAGTTTATCCCAACTTGTTCTATAGATTCAATATAATCCTGATCAAAATCCCAGCAATTTATTTTGTGGGTACTGACAAATTGATTCTAAATTTCATACCTAAAATTAAGTCTTACTACAAAGCTACAGTAATCAAAACAGAAGAAAGGGGTTATGTGAAATCTCTCTGTACTTTCTACTCAGTGTTTTCATAAAACTAAAACTGCTCTAAAAAATAAGTCTATTATTTTAAGAAATAGACTTTAAATATAAGGAGAAGTCTTCACAGAGATTTAAATAAAACAATTATATGTCAAATATAAAGTCTATATTATTTATTTCTATAAGCAGAGAAACAGATAAATAAATGAATAATTTAAGGACAACAAGGGCCACAATTTCTTTCCACATGTTCAATAGCCCGGTTTAATATCCTCTGAAACCGCTTCTTGCTGATATGAATAGAAATGGAATTTCCACACTAATTTCTCTACCTAATGTGAAACTCCCAGGGTAAAAGCTTGAAATAGAATAACCAGATCTACTTCCTAAATATCTTTACTGTTCTAAACAGCCATGAGACAGAAACTGAAACAACAGAGTATCAATCTAATGAACGAGGACAGAAAAATCCCAAGATATCAGTTCAAGGCCCAGTGTTAGTGACCTACCATCATCATCCTCTCATTTTCTACTTCGTTGAGCAATTCAGCAAATTCCTTGAAGGATTCAGCTAGAAAGACAGAATAAAAGATAAACCAAATTAATCAGAGTACTTGATAGGGAAGTGGGCAGAGATCTGAGTGATATAAGTTAGGGACCGGTGCTCCAAGCCAGCCTGCACACTAGAGGAAGGCATCAAATCTAAGGCCAATAGGAGAATGTGTTCAGCGCTTGTTGAATATTTCTTTTTTTTTGTTTTCTTTCTTTCTTTCTTTTCTTTTCTTTTTTCTTTTTCCAATTCCACCACCCAAGAGATTTTTTCCCTTCAGTTTTACTGAGATATAATTGACATACAACACTATGTGAGTTTAAGGACAGGATCTATTCTCTTGGCAACTTCCAAATATACCACATAGCCATGCTAATTACAGTCATCATATTGTACATTATGTCCTCAGTTTTTATTTATCTTATAACTGAGAGTTTGTACCTTTTGATTACCTTCATTCAATTACCCCAACCCCCACAAATCCGATTACTTTTTCTAGGACTTTGTTTTTTAGGTTCCACATATAAGTGAGATCATACAGTATGTCTTTGATTTATTTCACTTAGCATAATACCATAAAGATCCATTCACGTTCTTACAAATGGCAGAATATCCTTATATTTTATGGCTGAATAGTATCCCAGTATGTATGTATATATGTGTATATGTGTGTGTGTACCATATATATACCACAACTTTTTTATCCATTCATCTACCAATGGACATTTAAGTTGTTTCCATGTTTTGGCTATTATATATAATGCTGCAATGAACACAGGAGTGCAGATATCTCTTCAACATAGTGGTTTAATTTCCTTTGGATAATTAATTCCCAGATGTGGAATTGCTGGATCATAAGGTAATTCTATTTTTAATTTTTTGATGGACCTCCATTCTATTTTCCACAGTAGCTGGCACCAATTTACATTCCTTCCAACAGTGTACAAAAGTTCCTTTCTCTCCACATCCTTGTCAGCATTGGTCATCTTGTCTTTTTTATGAAAGCCATTCTAACTGAGGGAATATCTCATTGTGGTTTTAATTGCATTTCCCTTATGGTTAGTGATGTTAAGCAAGTTTCATGTACCTCTTGGCTATTTTAATATCATCTTTGGAAAAATGTTGATTCAAGATTTGCCCATTTTTAATTGGATTATTTGGGGGTTTTTGTTTGTTTGCTTTGCTATTGAGTTGTCAGAGTTGTTTATATGTTTTGGCTATTAATCCCTTACCAGATACATGATTTGCAAATATTCCCTCCCATTCCATAGGTTGCCTTTTCATTTTGTTGACTGTTTCTTTGGCTGTGCACAAGAATTTTAGTTTGATATAGTCCCTCTTGTTGATTTTTTTTATGTTGTTGCTTGTCCTTTGGTGTCATAGCAAAAAAATTGCCAAGACCCTATCAAGAAGCTTTTTCTTTATGTTTTCTTCTAGGAATTTTATGGTTTCAGGTCTTACATTTAAGTCTAATCCATTTCAAGTTAACTTTTGTGAATAGTGTAAGACTGGAATCTACTATCATCCTTTTACATGTGAATGTCTAGCTTCCCCAGGTCCAGACGGTCTTATCCCCACTGTATATTCTTGCCTCCTTTATCTTAGATTAATTAACAATATAAGCCTGGGTTTATTTCTGGGCATGCTATTCTATTCCACTGATCGATATATCTGTTTTTATGCCAGTACCATACTGTTTTGATTACTACATCTTTGTAGTATAATTTGGAATCAGGGAGCATGATGCCTCTAGCTTTGTTCTTCTTTCTCAAGACTCCTTTGACTATTCGAGGTCTTTTGTGATTTCATACAAATTTTAAGATTATTTGTTCTAGTCTGTGAAAGATGCTGATGGTATTTTGATAGGGATTGCATTCAATTTGTAGATTGCCTTGGGTAGTATGGACATTTTAACAATATTAATTCTTCCAATCCATGAGAACTATATCTTTCCATTTATTTGTGTAATCTTCAATTTCTTTCATCAATGCCTTATAGTTTTCAGAGTATAAGTCTTTGACCATCTTGGTTAATTTTATTCCTAAATATTTTGGTTATGATGCTCTTGTAAATAAAATCATTTTCTTTATTTCTTTTTCAGATAATCTTTTTGTTTTTTTTTTTAACTGTTTATCCCCTTCACCTATTTCTTTTACCCCTTACCCCACATTTTTCTGATGAAGTCTTTAGGATTTTCTCTATATAAAATCAAACAGATGATTCTACTACTTTCTTTCTGATTCTGATGCCTTTTATTTCTTTTTCTTACCTAATTAATCTGGCTAGGGATTCCAGTACAATACTAAATAGCAGTAGTGAGTGAGCACATTTGTCTTGTTCTTGATTTTAGAAGGAAAGCTTTGGAACTTTCACCACTGAGTACGATCTTAGCTGTGGGCTATCACATATTGCCTTAATTACGTTGAAGTACATTTCTTCTGTACCTAATTTGTTGAGAGTTTTTATCATGAACAATACTGAATTTTGTCAAATGTGTTTCTTTACCTATTATTTTTATTGGTGGTTAATCATAATATAATTAGTTTATATTTGTTTTGTTTGCATTAACATTATGAAAGACTCATTTCAGGATACCTTTAATTACTAAACTTTCCTAACATATTTAAAATGTAAATATTCGATTCGTAAAACTTTCCAAACTTTCCAACTTTCCAAAATACATCTGTTTTGTTGAGTAAGGTGCTCCCATAGCCCTGACTTACGATTGAACTGTAACAATGAGATGATGCCTGGCCTTTATGTAGTCTTGATTACCTAAGTCCAACATTCAGGTCCTGCAGTGCAGTTATTTTGAAACTAATCTCTTTACCCCACCATTTTGAACATATTATTTCATATTACTTTATATTCATCATGATAGGTGTATTCTTTAATCCCAAGCCCTATTTCACCAATCCCCCCACACTACCCCCTCTGGTAACCATCAGTTTGTTCTCTATAATTAATAGTCTGTTTCTTGGTTTGTCACTCTTTTTTTTCCTTTGCTCATTTGTTTTCTTTCTTAAATTCCATACATATGAGCAAGATCATGTGGTATTTGTCTTTCTCAGACTTATTTCATTTAGGAATATACTCTCTAGCTATACCCACGTCATTGCAATTGGCAAGATTTCCTTTTTATGACTGAATAATATCCCATTATATATATCTAGATAGATAGATAGATAGATAGATAGATAGATAGATAGATATAAAATATTAATACACACACACACCATACCTTCTTTATCTATTCATTTATCAATGGACACTTGGGCTGCTTCCATAATTTGGCTATGGTAAATAATGCTGCTATAAACACAGGAGTGCATATAACCCTTTGAATTAGTGTTTTTGTATTTTAGGGGTAGATATCCAGTAGTGCAATTACTGGATTGTAGGGTAGTTCTATTTTTAATTTTTTGGGGAACTTCCATACTGTTTTCTACAGTGGTTGTACCAATATGCATTCCCACCAACAATGCAAAAGGATTCCTCTTTCTCCACACCTTCATAAACACTTACTTCTTGTGTTTTTTATTTTAGCCATTCTGACAGGAGTGAGGTGATATCTCATTATAGTTTTGATTTGGATGTTCTTTTTTTTTTTAATTATGTTGTGTTAATCACATGTAGTGTTCCATGATTCATTGTTTGCATATAACACCCAGTGTTCCATGCAGTACGTGCCTTCTTTAATACCCATCACCAGGCTAACCCATCCCCCCACCCCCTCCCCTCTAGAACCCTCCATTTGTTTCTCAGAGTCCATAGTCTTTCATGGTTCGTCTCCCCCTCTGATTCCCCCCCCTTCATTCTTCCCTTCCTGCTATCTTCTTTTTTTTTTTTTTTACATATAATGTATTATTTGTTTCAGAGGTACAGGTCTGTGATTCAACAGTCTTACACAATTCACAGTGCTCACCATAGCACATACCCTCCCCAATGTCTATCACCCAGCCACCCCATCCCTCCCACCCCCCACCACATGTTCATGATAATGAGTGATGTTGAGCAACTTTTCATGTGTTTGTTGGCCATATTTATGTCTTCTTTGGAAAAATGTTCATGTCTTCTGCCCATTTTGATTGGATTATTTGTTCTTTGGGTATTGAGTTGTAGCAGTCCTTTATATATTTTGGATACTAACCATTTATTGGAAATGCCATTTGCAAATATCCTCTCCCATTTGGTGGGTTGTCTTTTAGTTTTGTTGATTATTTCCTTTGCTGTGCAGAAACTTATTTTAATGTAGTCTCAATAGTTTATTTTTGCTTTTATTTACCTTGCCTCAGGAGACATATCTAGAAAAATGTTGCTACAGCTGATGTCAAAGACATTGCTGTCTGTGCTCTCTTTAATGGTTTTTATGGTTTCAGGTCTTACATTTAGGTCTTTAATCCAATTTGAGTTTATTTTTGTGTATAGTGAAAGAAAGTAGTCCAGTTTCATTCTTTTTTTTTATGTTATGTTAGTCCCCATACAGTACATCATTAGTTTTTGATGTACTGTTCTGCGGTTCATTGTTTGCATATAACACCCAGTGTTCCATGCAATACGTGCCCTCCTTAATACCTATCACCGGGCTAACCCATTCCCCCACCCCCCTCCCCTCTAAAACCCTCAGATTGTTTCCCGGAGTCCATAGTCTCTCATGGTTCATCTCCCCCTCTGGTTTCCCCCCCTTCATTTTTCCCTTCCTTCTCCTAATGTCCCCCATGCTATTCCTTATGTTCCACAAATAAGTGAAACCATATGATAATTGTCTTTCTCTGCTTGACTTATTTCACTTAGCATAATCTCCTCCAGTTCCATCCATGTTGATACAAATGGGTATTCATCCTTTCTGATGGCTGAGTAATATTCCATTGTATATATGGATCCAGTTTCATTCTTTTACACATTGCTGTCCAGTTTTCCCAAACACAATTTGTTGAAGACACTGTCTTTTTTCTGATTGGATACTTTCCTCTTTTGTCAAAGATTAATGACCATATAATAATTGGTTAATTTTGGGGTTT